TGGCGTGATTATTGATAACAAACTGAAGTTCAACTTCACGAATTCTTTGTCGACTGAAAACCATTTAACTATTAACAGTAAAATACAGCTATACAAGTCAATCATCTCTCCGCATTTAGACTTTTACCCTTCCATTTTATTTATGGCCAATGAAACACAAATATCGAGATTACAGCGCTTGCAGGATAGAATAATGCGTTTGATTTTGAGATGTAATAGATTCACTTCCTCAACTTTGATGCTAGATGCCTCACAATGGTTGTCGGTGATGCAAAGAGTTGTATATTTGACTGTGGTGTTCATTTTTAAAGTAGTTGACGGTTTGCTGCCTCGATATTTGTGTGATCGAATTGAAAGAGGAAGTGATTTTCATAGATATAATACTAGAAACGCGATTGAAATAAGAACACCACATTTCTTGACTTGTGCTTCACAATAATCATTATATTCTAAAGGAGTAAATGTTTTCAATTCGATGCCTAGACATATCAAACGTTCAGCAACACTTGCAGAATTTGCATTTCACACAATAAAATTGTGTTTTGAACAGTTATCCAGTGCTTTTTTATGAATTGACAAATTATGTATCATGACGAAGTTATCTCTAACTCTAACGGATTAATTTATATGGATAGCTGTCATAACGACTATATAATAATTATTGTAGCACTGCAAAAACTATTTCTATTCGCCACGATGGTGATGATGGATTTTGAATATTTGATTTAATAGTAGTAGATTAAGAAGAGATGAACTAGCCATGTTGCTAAAAATCTCTATAATAAAGAAAAAAAAGTAGTAGATTAATTTAAAAAAAAAAAGTAGTCTACAAAGGTATGAGCCTCGCGTGCGTATTACGGATATAGAGGACTGAATTTAAAATCTGATGAAAACAAATGCAATTTTGAAGCTTATTTGGAAGATGCCTTGAGTTAGTAGTAAGTTTTCTGGAAAATGTCGGGGGTTCGTGAACATTCCAAACATTGCTGAAAATTATGATAGCATCAGATTGCGGGGGTTAGCAGCGCCGGTGGTGTAGTGGTAAGCGCGATTACCTCCCACCCCAGCACGTCTGGGTTCAATCCCAGTCGGCGCCGCCAGGATGTTCTTAGGTATAACATCTCTGATCACGCCTTCCTTCGGGAAGTAAAGCCGTTGGTCCCCGGTTCATGAGTTGATTGGTCGATAGGTAGGGTCCAGGTGTGAAAATTGCCTCCGGCGTCGGTAGCATTGGTGCTCAGCACAGAAAACAAGATCGAGGGAAAATAAATCAAGGAAATTGCGGGGTTGCTAACGTAATAGGAAACTTTGATGATTGTTCATTAACTCTTGATTGCTTGTAATACTTATGATTATTTTAGAAGTCGTCTTTAATTATATTAAAGATAAATCATCCAGCTCAAACCTTTGTAGGGGTAAGAGGTGGGAGTATCATCATCATCAGAAGTTTGGCCCGGGAAAGTGTCGGAAAATTTACTCAAACTATGACGCCGCCACCGACAGAAAATAACATACCACACCACCGCCGAAAATATTTTGATCGACGCACAGGTCTAGACTTGGAACTGGTTCCAACGTGGATAATAAACAAATTCGCTAATAGTAATGAGTACGATTGGCAAAACTTAACAGTGTGCCAACATGTGCCCTACGTGCCGAGAAGTGTGCTATGCTGTGTTTCGGCACAGTGTGCAGAGTTGATTACCCCTTGTATTTTCTAAAACTTTGCCAAAGATTTATCTTGAATATGAAATATTTAAATAAAAATAATGTTTGATTGGGGATTAATCATTGATCTGTCAATTTCAAAAGAAGAGAACGTTTCCCGAAGATAACACTAGTCAAAAATGCAAGATTCACGAGATAATGACGTTTGCTCGTCTTTTCACAGTTCTGGACCACTGTGTGGTGGTGTTCAAAAACAGTACACAGTGCCGTGTAGTGTTTGGACATGCCTGAATTGAAACTTAGACCAGCATTAGTGGAGCGATGCCACCTCGTTGATGATTTTGAAATTTGAATACTTTGTCCTCTTGAAGTTCTCAATATGTGAATAATATACGATGATAATTTATGAATATGGTTACTCATGAAGTACTCGAAAATGTCGAGTTGACATTCTCAAGATCAGGAATATTACACTTACAGAGGGTCATTGCCTCCTCGTTGACAATTTTGCAATTCTAATCTTTCGTTCTTATGAAGTTCACGATGTGCAAATATTTGAAATTCAAGCATAACTTTTCTAAAGGACGTAAGTATCAAAAATAAACAAATCGATATTTTGCACCTAAACGAATATAAAATACATGCTTTTCCTACGAGTTGATGAAATACAAGGTTTGAAATTGTAATGCATTATGGAAAATATATTTAATGAACGCCCTATGTGACCTGCTTTCATTGTTTTTAAAATGATGTTGATACACCCTTTTATTGTCAACATGACTTAACTGTTAAAATTTGATGATAACACCAAAACTGCAGATACGCTCACAGTGAGGCGTCGTATGTGAAAAAAAAACAAAGCAACCACTATCAATCAGCAGATGCGTCAAGTTATTTCTAAGTAGATACAAAATGGATTTCAACGGGATTGAGCTACTGTTAGGTATGTTTTATTAAATATTATTGACTAAAACACAAATATTATATTTTTTTTAGATGTAGCAACAGCTTGATGAGTCAGAACAGTTTTCATCTGCACATATTCCCAGCGTGGGATATTTCGAGGAAGTGGAAACAGTTCCGCAAGAAGGATTGCCTCCAGGCCTAGATCTAAACGTTCACGATGATGCTTCTCCTCGTCAGAATAATAACAACGCTTTACGACAATCCTCGATGAACATTTCAAATGGTCCTATCTGCTTTGATCGATTCTCTTCATCGACTTTCTCTTTTCATAGCCACTGCTATGCAAACAGATTTCGCGCTAATTCTACCATCTAGTTTGATAAAGGAGGTTCTTTTCTAGCGTCCAAAACGTCAAATACAAGAGGGAAAGGTTTTGCAGCTGAGTTATTGACGAAAGAGAAAGTCGGTGAAGAGAACCGATCAAAGCAGATAGGACCATTTGAAATGTTCATCGAGAATCGTTTGATGATATCCGAGCCGCTTTACATCCGGTTACGATGAAGTCTTTGTTTGAATCCTGCAAAAAACGCTGTGATATGTTTGTTTTTGTATTTCCAGGAGCAACATGTTTATTATTTCAAAAGTATTCTAATAAAATTGCACTTTAATCTTGACTTTATTATTGAACTTTACATACCATTCTGCCCAGGCCTTTCCTTATACGAAAAACACAAATCTGACAGCAGATAATGCGATGACCCTCTCATCTCCGCTTTTAACATCAATTAATTGACAACTGTGGCTAGTTATGTAGGGGAAATGACGGCTTCGGCATGACAGACTATTTTCGGCAACCCAAATTGAAACACTATTTTCACTGGATTTTCTTAGGAAAACACTTCGCTGAATGCATGTAAACGATTCTTTATGCTTTCAGCTTCAATTTGACTATATTTTTACCAATGAGAAAAAGCAATCTAGCAGGGTTTTCTTGAAATGAAACACACGCACTACAAATTGTAGCTGATTTCGAGTTGCCGATAATAGAACAGCAGATTTACATGCAGTTCAAATGGAACGGTTGCCGAAGAAAAACTGGTTTCCGACAATACTCGCTCTCACTAGAGAAGATTGGAGCTTTGTAAAAGCGTTTCAAAACAGTTTTTGACAATTCTTTCGACTGAAATTGTTAGAGCAGCTGGCAGCAAAAGATTGTAAACAAACCAATACTGCATATGTGTGCGTTCCATAGAGAAAAAGGCTATAGAAAGAAGGTCGCTGCTTAGGTTGCCGAGACTACGTAAATTCCCCTAAATAAACCAACCATCCGACAATTCCTCAATGTTTTTCGAGCTGCCGACGTATCTTCACTGCAAAGCAAAAACCGGTGTATCTGATTTGACGTATGTGAAAACCCTTCTGTCAAATTGACGAATCATGCAGGGTGTGTGTAAAAATCAGGGTGTGATACCGACGAATCAATCAGGGTGTATGTGAGTAGTACACAAGTAAAAGGTGTATGATTTTGTTTTATCAAAAGTCTTGTCCATGTTTGCAAAACTCAACATTTTTCACAATTCTCTTAAACGCAATCCCTTTATCCAACTAATAGCACAAACAGATTTAAAAAAATAGCATTAACTTTTAAATAGGATTTAATAATCTCATATAGACATTGCTATCCAATGTTTCTAATTTCATATCAAATGTTACATACGTCCTTTTGAAAAGTTATGCTTGAAATATCGCCTACATGAGATCTTAAAATTCTTATGCTTCATCCTCATGATGTTCTTGACATTTTTATTTCAGGAATATCTCCCTTTCAGAGGACCATAGCCAGGCATGGAAAATCATTTGCATTCATTTCGTGCATTCATTTACATTCATTTGTTCCTAACTTTTTTCATCGACAGAATTTCGCAAAATGATGTATAGAGTTTTTGTAGGCTTTGTTATTGGCTAAAATTTTTGTTAAAAACTCAAATCCGTATCTCTTATGCATGACGAACCAGAGCGAACAGAAGCCACTACTGTTTTTCAGTGAATGTATTTTACATTTACTGAAAAACAGTAGCAAGTTCTGCTCGCTCTGGTTCGTGATGCATAAGAAATACAGGTTTGAGTTATTACCAAAAGTTGTAGCTAATAACAAAACCTACAAAAGCTCTATACATTATTTTGCGGAATGCTGTTGATGAAAAAAGTTAGAGGCAAATGAATGTAAATGAATGCATGAAATGAATGTAAATGATTTTCCATGCCTGACCATAGCCAAATCATTGATATTTTTGAAATTTTAATAATCCATCCTCACGAAGTTCTCTTGCTTATCTAATGCAATGTCACCCTTATTAATTTCTTTATTATATTGCTTCAGCCTGGTGAAGCTCTCGATATGCACATCTTTTGAAATTGCGACTTACCTGTTATTATTTTACAATCACTCGTTCGTCAATGATCCTGCAGAGCAAAAATAAAAATTAATATCACGTCAAAGAGGATGCAGTACAACCGCGGTGATAAGGTGATAAGAGAAGTTAGTGATGAATCGTTTACATCTAAAATACAGATATTTTTCTTTTCACAAAAAAAAACATCGTAGCATCGATAAAATAGCTGCGCATGTCGATTTTCATACAAAATGGTCAACTTTGACAATATGTAACTTTGTTAACTTATGATCAATTGAGCTGAAACGTTCACCAAAGAACTACAAATACGTTCAATTTCATGATTACAAAATATTAAATTTTTGGAAGCACCTGCCGGAAAGTGAGACACCAGGTACAGTTGTTTAAAATAATAGCAGTAGTAATAATTTTCATTTCAGCTAAATTTTTGAGATTTTAAATTTTACATTTCTCAAAATTCTAACAAACCCTTACCCAATTAACAAATGTACAAAATAGTTAAAAATGTTGAAAATATTTGCAGCACCTAAATTTTGAAATAAAAAACTGCTATTATTTTGAACAATTTTACCTGCTGTCTCACTTTCCGGCAGGTGCTTCCAAAGCTTTAATATTTTGTAATCGTAATTGCGGTTGACTATTTTCACTGCTTGTACTATACACCATAAAATTCTCCGTCGGATGACATTTTTTCCATGATTTTGAGAAATATGCGTTTGAAATGAGTAAAATGAGTAAAATTGACAAAAAAATTCTCAGTTCAGGAGTAGTACCAATAGAATGAGAGTATCCAATCTTTACATTTCCCATATTTGGGACTTTTTCCTGGAAAAACATATCGCTAAGATCTTGCACTTTTTACGAATAGTAAACTGAATTCAAATTTGGACTGTTTTTATTGGCCGTGTAGTAAAAAAAGGCGTAGCCCGACGTAAAAAAAAGAAGAACAAACACAAAAGTCGCAAAATGCCTACCTTCACTTATCTCGGCACGCTAGTATACAGCGTGTGGATGATGGTGACGACGATCTGCGTAAGCTAATGATGGTGACGTGGCTGTGAACAATTACTTGAATCACCAACAAAACCTTGATCACTTTTAATCACTATTAATGTGTTGCTTGAACAAAAAATTGAACCAGCATGGCCCAATGCTCGACTGAGACTGAATGTGAACTAGTTGTTAAACGTAAATTAATATAAGACAGGCCAGATAAGCTAATCAATTGATATCACCAACAAGCAGTAGCAACAGCTTCGCCCAAGGTGGATAACCAGTGCTGTGTTCTTAAAATTTGAGCTAAGTATTCGCACCCAATATTGACCTGCGCCCTTAAAATTTAAATCTGCCTTAAATAACGATGCGTCCGCCCCCGACGTTGATGACGTTGTTTCAAATAGTGTATTATCTAGTTTATATGGTACGTTGCAAAACATTTGCACTTTATCGAGCAGCACCGTACTCTACAGGTGGCGAAGGTGGCATTTGCTACACAACAAAAACCCGAGGGGCGGAAAAATCGCTTTAATGTTCCTTGAATATCTACAAAGTCCCTTTATCGTTTCTTCTTGAAAATATGATTTATTTCCAAAAGTTCCGTCAACATTTTCCAAGCACCATAATTTGTGTTTTCTTATTTATCTCATATCATACTTGACTTTCTCCTTGAAGCCCTTAAGCTGGGTTTAGACAGGGCAAGTCGATTGATCAAGTCAGTTGAATTCAACTGACTTGAACGCGAGATGAACGTGTAAACCATGCCATTCACAAGTACTAGGCTAAATAAGTCACAAGTACTAGGCTAAATAAGGGGAAGATTATGGATTTGATGATGAAATCAAAAAACAAAAAATATAGATACATAAATATGGATTAAAAATTTGGTTTCTACGTTGCTGTTCAATTCATGCTGGAGGTGGTGGATTTGTGATATCTTGAGTAGTTATAAATTATGACTGCTGTTAAGATAGCATAAATCAATCGCCAGCATAAAAGAATAGTATCCATAAAAATATCATCCCATTTGGCTCTCGTACAAGAAAGCTTACTTTCGTAAAGGAAACTTTTATCTAGAAAACCTCGTGAACCCAATCTTTGCTACTTTTAGCAAAAGTGGAATGCCAAGCTCCTCGAGCATGTTTGCGTGTCAATAACGTAATCGTCGCTACGAAAATCTTTGAAATAAGAACAAGAGATATTTGTGCTGTTACAATTGACGTTACCTTCGGAAACCTTAATAGGCCATACGTTTACTATTTCAGTTCCAGGTTTTTACGTTTATATCAGGTTCTTGTTTTAGACGTTCCCAAGAACTCGTGACATTACTGCCGAAAGTGTTAAATCAGTCCAGAAAATTTAGCACTTTCGGAAGTGAGTCTATCATTGAGTGGTTCAACATTTTTCCTACTGAATTCAAGCTTTTCTGAAGTTATTAAATATTTTATGAGCCGAATACACGGATCCAGTGTTTGCAATTTTTCCGAAGTGATTCAAAACTTTTGTAAAGTTCAGTACTGTTCGAAGTTATTCTGTAAGTGCTTTTTTTTTTCTGAAATGGTACAGTACTTTCCAAAGTGATCATAAGCTTTTCTCAAGTTATTCAACACTTTCTGAAGTGATTCTGAACTTTTCCAAAGTGATTCCAAACTTTCCTAATTTAATGTAAACTAAATCTTATCTTAGTATAAAGGGAATTGATCATTGCAATTGAGGATTGCAACGATTTTTGCCTGAAATTATTAATTATTTTGTTGGACATTTGTGCTAAAGTCTCAACATTCGAAATTCTATGTACACTGAAGTCTTTTTTTACACGGTTTTTTTTACGCGGTTTTTTTTACACGGTTATTTTTACACGGTTTTCCACGATTTACACGGTACGTTTTTAAAGATTTCTCGACAACGATACAACCTATCGACTTGATTCCAATCACATTATCCGTTTCAAGCTATAGGTAATCGAATGGCATACTTAGAAAAAATCACAATTTTTGGTGTAAATACAGAAATTTTTAAAATATGTCTATATGGACCATATCATGCTTTATTACAAATGGCATCAAAATCCGATTTTTTAAAAACGTTTAAGCATGCGAAAAATCAAAATCTCGTAGGTTTTTTTTTACACGGTTTTTTTTTACACGGTACGTATCCCCCGTGTAAAAAAAGACCTGAGTGTACTTCGGTAGTACTGTACCAGGGAGGCAACTGGTAGTGCAACAACTAGACCATATTGGCACAGCGTATAGCATGGCTGGTCTAAAAACTTGTTTAAATATAAGAAGTTTATTCGTCAGGCAAAGTTTGGATTTCCTGTTTGTGATCTTTAAAAGTTAATTTTTGGTCAAGCACTAATCCAGGATATTTCACTTGACATGACCAAGAAATTGGAGCTCCGTTAATAGTGACTATGCGACTACTGCTAGGTTTGAAAAAGGAAACTCTAGGTTTATGTATGTATATGTATGTATATATATATGTATATTATAAGTTGAGTTTTGGAAGCATTGGGAGAAATCTTCCATTTTTGTAAATAAGAAGAGAAAATATCTAAACTTTTCTGCAGTCTGCTGCAAATAACACGAAGACTTCTTCCTTTAGCGGAAATGCCTGTGTCATCAGCGAACAAAGATTTGTGGCAACCCTGAGGCTAATCAGGGAGGTCCGAAGTGAAAATGTTATACAATATAGGCCCAATAATGCTACCCTGAGGAACTCCTGCTCTAACAGGTAGTCGTTTAGATTTGGAATTTAGATTATTTACCTACAGAGTTCTGTCAGTTAAATCACTTTAAACTAATTTCATAATATAAAATGGAAAATTAAACTTTTTCAATTTAGCAATCAAACCTTCATGCCAAACACTGTCGAATGCTTTTTCTATGTCTAGAAGAGCATTAGTGGAGACTGACAAATGACTGTCTAGTACTGCGTTTCAACTAATTTTACAGGGTAGCCGTGGAACCAGTGGAATTCCATCGAATATCAGGATGGTTTGGCAATGGAAGACGGCGACGAGGGTTGAAATTCGAACAGCCGGAACCGAGGCCGGAACAATTTTTTTTTAGTTTGAAGGGTGGCAGCCCTAATAAAAATTGTATGGTTAATTTGCTCAATGACGTGTTCGGGGTATCATCCAAACCATTTGTGGAATAGTTCAATAATTTGGGTTATCACTCGTTTATAGTATTTTTTTATTAGGGGGGTTACAACCTATGAAACATATTTGATTATTATTTAGTGCAATATAAAAGATTTTATTTGTTTTTCTTTTGACTACTTTCAATATTCGGTTAAATTTTTAACGGCAGGAAGCCCATAAAACAGTTTTGTTGATAAAATAGGTATTTTTTATTCATCCCCAGTAAGAACATGAAGGCTAAAAAGTACCCAGTTTTTTTTTGAAGTACGCGTCAAACACTCATTAATGAGTAATACACTCAAGTCTTTTTTACACGGGGGATACGTACCGCGTAAAAAAAACCGTGTAAAAAACCGCGTTGTTTCAAAAAACCGTGTAAAAAACCACGTTGTTTCAAAAAACCGTTTAAAAAAAAACATGTGTTTCACAAAACCGTGTGATAAACCCGTGTTATTTCAAAATTCATTATAACAAAAAATTGAGCAGTGTGCATGGAATTTTATTCGGTACTTGTAAGTCATGATCACCTATTTAGAACATATTCGTTCATGATAAAGTTCTCCTGGAGGTAAAGACCTTCCGAATGCTTTGATCACACCATTTCGGAATTTTCTCTCATTTGTAAATCCTAACCATCTTGAAAGCAGCTGGCTTCCACAAAGCTGCTCCCGTAGCTGAGTAATGAACAGTAAAACGTTGTAGGTACATACATATGTGTATGAATTAAATATCTACGTGGTGTGTTTAACATATTAAGCAGGGTTTTAATCATACAAAGCAGATCACTAGCTTTCATGCTAAAAAGTACTGATTTTCGAGTCAAAAGTTATTATACGTCGTTTGGTGACCCCCTAAGGTTACTTAAGTCAAAGTCTTTTTACCAAGATATTAGGGAGAATTATCAATCACGTCTCCTTACGTGCAGCCCATTCATCATTTTAGGACCACCGAAATTATCTTAGCAACAAACAGTTCGATTTATTCACTTTAATAATGAGAAAGCAAAACGACGAGGGCAAACATACTTTTGAATATAAAAACTAATTGCTTTGTAATGGAAGTTTGCTCTTGAAATAGGATACATTACGGTATACATAAACTTGCTGATTATGGTGATCCTCAAAATTTCGCCAAATAGCGAAAAATTAAACGATTTTCAGATTTTACCTCTCAGAATTACATTAAGCTGAGGGGTCAGAAGGAAAAGGTGTAAGTGACTTTGATCGATTCTCTTCATCGACTTTCTCTTTTGATAGCAGCTTTATATACAGATTTCGCGCTATTTCTGCCACATAGTTTGATAAAGAAGCGTCTAATCTAGCATCCAGAATGGCACACGGATCAAGGAATGTGTTTGCAGCTGAATTATTAACGAAATAGATGAAGAGAATCGATCAAAGCCACTTACACCCCTTTCCTTCTAACTCCCTCAATTGTAATTGTTCGCTAAAGACAATGAACCAGGTTTGTGTTGGAATTCATCCATTTCCACTCTTGCATGGTATAATCTAGACGTGTGGAGGCCGGAAATCGATGATTCATGCCATTTTGAAATCTAAGATGGCGGCTTCCGGTTTTGTGAAAAACTGTCAAATAGCCAACAATATGGTAATTTTTGGAACCGAGACGACATACAGAGGCCGGAAATTGATAATTCATGCCATTTTGGAAGCCAACTACATGGATATTTTCGGAACGGGAACGACGTGTAGAGGCCAGAAATCGATGATTCACGCAATTTTGGAATCCAAAATGGTGGCTTCCGGTTTGTGAATGTTTCAAAAAAATGTTATGCAACAAATTTTAATTATCTTTTTTTTTCGATAATCTGTAATTTATCTTCTTCCATTTACAAGAACTTCATAAATTCATTGTTGAACAACATGTGATACCAGTGACTTGGTTGTGGAATGCAT